GGTGAAGCTCCGTGCGCATGCGCGACAAGTCCTACTTAGCCATTCATTTATAGATTTAATATTTACTTGGAATATAATTGCAGATATTTTAAATTATATATTTTATTTCTCGCATCATTGACCAATTTTACATAGAGTCATTTTGAATGAATAAATGTAATACATTATAAAAAAAAAAAATCTGGTGGGTTTCAGATTTTAAATTACGTCCAAAGGGGTGTTTTTTTTTTTTTTTTTTTTTTTTTTTTTTTTTTTTACTTTTTTTTTGTATGTTACCTTTATTTATTAAATACCATGTTCTACGTTCTCAAACCATAAAATTCAGTTCAAGAGTAATATCGCAAAATTAATTTTAAAATGAGCATATCTTTAAAATTTCCGATACAGAGTCTCGCGCGCTGGAGATAAAAATGTTTTTTTGTTTTTTGTGTAGTGTTGCCATTGTTCGCTTTGAAATTGCTTAGTTTTTTAATCAAAAATTCGTTGAAGTGTTACAAAATTTGAAAATGATAAATAAAACATATTTCAAATTCAAATTAGGGCTTCCATACGCGCATATTCTATGGAAGATTACGTTATTAGTCCAAAGGGATTTCAGTCCCGAAGGACTATTGCTTTCGTTTTGGCATTTTGCGTCGGACTCATAAACGTCGGTTCACTTTTCAAACTGTTGCCACAAAATGTTAGAGTCCTGCATTATATTTGAAGAAATTAAATAATGAAAAATCTGCATAAATGATTGTCTATTTCTCGCATTGTAATAAAACAATGGTACATAGAGCCATCGAATTTTGAATGACGAAATCCTACTGCGAATATGGGCATCTGAAATCCCAAATTTGGAATTTGTTTTATTATAGATTTTTATTTTTGTAAAACTTTAACGAATTTTTGATTTACAAACTCAGTGCTTTAAAAGCGAGAAATGGCAACGTTATAGAAAAAAAAAAATACTTTTATCTCCAGCTCGCGAGACCGTGTATATCGGAAATTCTAAAGATATGCTTAATTTAACATTATTTTGCGATATTGCTCTTGAACTGAATTTTATGGTTTAAGTGCAAAGAACATGATATTTAATAAATAAAGGTAACACTCAAAACGTTAAAAAAACGCCCCTTTGGACGTAATTTAAAATCTGAAAAATTTCAGATTTTTGTTTTATTTATTTTTTAAATTTTGATGGGTCTAGGTACCGTTGTTTTATCACAGTGCGAGAAACATACATACATTCATGCAGACTCTTCATTATTTCATTTCTTTAAATATAATACAGGGCGATCATAAATGGTGGCGACGATTAGAAAAGTGATACAGCCTTTTAAAGTTTTCAACGCAAAATGCTGAAACGAAATTAATAATCCTTCAGGGCAAATTTCCCCTTTGGACTAAAAATAAAATAAAATAAAATATATGTTGTGTGTAAAATCTTTTGTTTGTTTTATCTTTTTTAAAACACTGCCACACTTCCGTTACTAATCCTACGCATTAAACATCAGTGGATCTCTAAACTAAAAGAGAGAGCTTTCCGTCAATTTTTTTATTTATGTATAATGCCTAAAAATGTTTAATTCTAATAAATATTAATTACACAATCATTTTTATTAATTTTAAATGATATGCTAGAATAACATTTCAATATTCATTTACCCTTGCTAGAAAAGAATTTTAAAAAAGAATTCTAGTACTTTTTTTTACGTTTGTTAAAAAGTCTTGCTATCTTGTTTTGTTAAGGTAATAATAATTATCCAGTTAATGTATTTTTGAATGCAGTAACTTATATAAGCATTAAAAAATGAATCTTGAATTTTTTTTTAAATATACCCACTCTGCTACTCAGCTCCATAAGCTCAGTTTTTTTATTGTTATATGTTGGTAAATTATACATTTTTTGCTTTAACATGATTGAATTATGTTGTTCTTATCTTTCGGTTAAAGTTTTTATGCCTGTAGTTAATCTGCATTCGATAATTGTAGAATTATCAACGATTTAAAAGTTGTTTAAGTGCGGCTAAGCCTAATTTTTTTTTTTTTTTTTTTCCTATAGCAGCCATATTTGTTTACATCTGAAACTTGGTGAATTTAGTCAGCTTCTGCACCTTAAGTGTCTTTCTGTCAGTTTTGTGCACCGAAAAATCTGTCTTCTTGCCCGCTGGCCGAATTGCTTGTTTTTGAGTAAAAATTCTAATTTTAATTGTAAAAATTATTTTTTTAACTGTTTTAGCTACATTTAGTGTTTTATGTTTTTCTGTATTTTACAATTTTTAATAAAGGTGTCTTGTGTTTCTATGTATTTTTGCCTTGCCCTCGAAGTGAGAACTGAATTAATTGAATGAGAATTATATCTCTAATGAAATTCGAGGAAATAAGTTTAAATGAAATGCAGAAAAAATATTGCGTATAATTTAATATTCCGTGCGTGGAAATCATGTGGTGTACACGGTAACCGAAAAAATGCCCACATGAAAAATGCTCACAGAATAATGCTCACAGGTATAAATCCTCACACGAAAAAAAGCTCACACAGAAATATGCCCACATAGAAAAATGCTCACATGGAAAAATACTGACTTAGAAATATGCTCACATGGTAAAAAGCTCACATAGATATATGCTCACATGGAAATAAGCCCACTGATAAATAAAATATGTAGAAATATCCTTACATTAATCAATCAATAATTAATCGATTTGAACGTGTTCATATCGATTAATTATTGAATCTTGAATTTTTCAAAGAAAAATGATTTAAACTACCAAAACATCTATGGTATATATATATATATATAATATATATATAATTGTATAACTTATGTGTAGATTTAATTGCTATATAAGATTAACAAAAGGGCCGTTTCGAATTAGGAAAAAGAGAGGAGGAAGGAAGGAAAAATGGAACAAAATATAAACGAAAAATTATTACAATTTTAATTGTTAAAAAAATAAAATAACAGTGAGTATAAGTTACACTTTTTATAGTATAAATATTTAGAAGAATAAGAAAAATAGAAATAATTATTTTATTTAAATTACGTAAAATACCTTGTTATATATAAATCATGAATATTTCACATAAACTTATAAGGCCTGACCTTCCCGCCTTCTTAGCATGCCTTAGTGGTGCGGTGGTCTGCACGCTGGGAGCGTATTCCAGAGGTTCGTGGTTCGATTTCCATCTCCTGCTTCAAAAATACCTAATGTCTTTACAGTGGCGCTTGAACTAAAAGGATGGTGGATGATGATTCTCCACACCCAGGATTTGGCGATTGGTTTCCCTAAAAACCCAATCGCCCTTTAAAAGGGGGAGTATATAAGGAATTTCTCCCGCCTTCCTAGCATGATTTCGTGGTGTGGTGATCTGCACGCTGGGCGCGTATTACAGAGGTCCGTGGTTCGATTCCCGATGAAGGCTTTGCTCATTTTTCACATTTCCTGCCCCCAAAATACCTAATGTTTCTACAAATTTACTGAATAAAAAAATGTAATAAATGTTATAAAATGCTAATAAATGTAATTATCTAATTTTATCATCGATTTCATCATAGTTTCTTAGATGATTCGGGATTACCAAATGTAAGTTTTCATATTTTTTTTTTTTTTTTTTTTTTAACTTCAGTACGCCCTGTATTTACAATAGCTAGTAGTAAACGTTGACAGGCTAAATCTTTTTTTTTTAGTCCCTCATACAAAAACGAAATACTAGGATGGCTACAATTAAATAATGAATTTAGTACCTTATGACAGCTTTCGTAATAATTTGTTGTTTTAGGAGCTTTTTCGAAGGCTGCTTCATAATGATTCCATACTTCTATTGGAAACTGTGGTCTTCTAGAATTTATTTGACTCCAAACTTAAATAACCACATATAAACATCAATTTCTATAGATACACATCATAAGCATGCAAAAATAGAGTAAATCAAAAACAAAAATAAACTATTGGCAGTTACAAGGAAAAAAAAAATGTCGTACAGGGGACAGTGGTATAAAATTTTACAGTACATGCAGAATTTCACTATAGTTTTCATTCTTTTGTTTACCGCCCCTGAAAAGGTTAATATAGCATTTGTCCAATATTTTTTTTCAAATGATCAAATAATTTTTCTTTAAAAAATTCAAGTAGGTGTACGATGTTCAAATCGATTAATTTATTGATTGATTAATGTAAGGATATTTCTACGTATGTTATTTATCAGTGGGCTTATTTCCATGTGAACATATATCTTTGTGAGCTTTTTCCCGTGTGAGTATATTTCTGAATGAGCATATTCCATGTAACTATTTTTCTATGTGGGCATATTTCTGTGTGGACTTTTTTCCTGTGAGCATTTATATCTGTGAGCATAATTCTGTGAGCATTATTCCTGTGGGCTTTTTTCCTGTGGGTTTTTTTCCCTAGAACTGGTGTACACATCAAATTTTTATTATTATTATTATCATATATATATAAGATATTTCTCCCGCTTTCTTAACATGCCTTTGTAGTGTAGCACGCTCAACGTGTATTCGAGAGGTCCACGGTTCGAGTCCCGGTGAGGACATTGCTCATTTTTCACTTCTGCTTCCAAAAAATACCTAATGTCTCTACAACATTATTGAAAATAAAATAAAAACCAAAATTATTAAGACATGTATTTACTACTTTTGAATCAGTAAGTTCATTAAGCAATTACAAACTGTTTAAATTCGAGAGATAAATTAAAGATGTTTTCTTTTTACCGAATGGCAGTGTTCTGAAAACTACTTAAGGATGAGGCCGTATGGGAGATAAATTAAAGATCTTACGTTAAATCAACTTTACGTTAAGTCAGTGGGAACACTTGGCAAGCTAAAGGAGTGATATAGTCATTGTAGCGTAACTTGAAGTAAAGAGCGTAACTGTCCAAACATTTTGGACAAATTCCGCTGACACCAGTTCTAACATCAAATGTAATGTTCATGCTTTTTTAATATCAAGAAAGGAAAGCCGTCTGCAGCATTTTAAATAAAAGAAATACCTACTTTAAATATGCATAAAAAACATCTAATGGGCAAATTGCTGACAGCTTGAACACAGTATGCAGATCCACAGCTCTAAAAGGTCATCAGAGCATAGCAATTGGTGACGTGCTAAAGCAAATTAGACAGGTCTACCAATAAAAGGGTGCGTGCGTCTTGACTTCCCCATCATTCGTCACTTGCACCAAGAAAAAGAGGCGTGCGATCGACAACAAGACGACACACGCCCTCATTGTCAAAGTGTCAAGGTCTGCCTTGGTACCAGTTTTCGACGGAAATACGAGTGGAAATTTGGAGTGCCTCCACCTCATTTCTTACTCTTCTAAAACTGTCAGTGGGGTTACTTGAAGGAAGGGAGTGTGTATATAACAAACAAACTACCCACAAAAAAAGCTACAAGAAATACCTTGAACTGTTTGCGTGACCCTTCGGGGCCTTGTCTCAAGAAAACAAAGCGCTACACCAGATCTAAGAAAATATAAAAGATTGATAACTCGTTCCTCTGAATAGCTTGTTTATCTTAACGACGTTTTAAAAGTCATGTTAAAACAGAAGAGTGCTAATAGATAATAATCTATTCAGTTTTCGATGGTGTAGAAGATTAGTTATTTAACATGCGTGACTGCATGACACAGCGAAATGATTTTTTTTAATGATATTTAAGACTATAAATTATTAGTTTCTATATAATCCTTAGCATCAGAGCTATTGGAAGGCAAATTATGACCTACGGTTTGATCTCGTAAGCCAATCGGTCTATTGTTTGTGACCAGTCCACATCCGTAAACCATGGGTATGTATTTAGGAGGAAAGTAAACTAATCATATACCATACAGAAATGCATTAAAATGTGTTGTTCTATTCCAAGGAAGACAAATAAACATATTGTATTAGGCCTTAAGCTTGATCACAACTTGTATTCGAATCGGAATTATTTCCAAGATATAACTTAAACATAACTTTGAAAAAGCTAGATTTACAAAAGGGCAAAGAAGGTCACATCTGAAGCGACCTATTTACCAGTTTGTATGTAGTCTTTGGTATCGAGTTTATTGGAAGCCACATTATGGCTTACAGTTTGATATTGTAAACTTATAACGTTGCGCGCCTCTAACTTGCACGCAACCAAGAGGTGACTGTGAAAGCTTGTATAAACCACAGAGTCTTATAAAGGGTTTAAGTCCCTTTTTATTCAACGTAATAAATTACAATGGCGTCCTCTTGACGCTTACAGACTGTGCCCACTAGGCAGTCAAATAAAAATAAAAACCTGAAAAGAAAGTAAAGACAATATTCTAACTACGAGGCTCTCTAAAAACTAACTAACTCACCGCGTTTTACAATACCGCTGCTAATTCAGCAGACTTGAAGCTCACTGGAACAATTGCAACTACTTCCCGCCAAGCACATAGGCCGCAACGCGGGGTTCTTCAATTCTCGATAACTACCTCCGCGCTCGCTAAGTAAGAATAACTCTCTCACCGAACTCGTTTCCTTCTATTTAAATCATACTACTTCCGCTGATAATTGAATCTTGCGCGTTCTACTCAAATTTACATATTCTGGCATTTGGCAGTTTCCAGGGAAGTAAGGCTTGACAGGAAAGATAGTTTAAACTTAAAATAAATGTTAGTTAAAATAAATATAAACCCTACAAACTAACTGATCTATGGTTTATGACTAATTCACGTCCATAAACCATCGATATGAATTAGGAGACAAGCAAACTAATCATACACCACACAGAAATCTATTAACACGTGCTCAATTCCAAGGAAGGGGAAAAAAAAAAAAAGTACTGTATTTGGCGTCAAGCTTGGTCACAATTTATATCACAAATCCGAATTATTTCAAGGTTAAAGTGGACATTACTTTTGACAGAGCTATGCTTGTAAAATTAACCTTTTGAAGACGGGATGGCCATTATAGTGGCCATAGAGTCCTCTCTTTGAAAAGACGGGGTTGTCCACTTTAGTGGCCATGTCTTTTTCCCCCATTTTCCAGGCTGAACTGGGGGAAATGTCAATTTGACGTCCTGGGTTTAACCACTTATTCTTTCAGGCTTTCTTTTGCGACAGATTACCCCCTGAAACAATTAAACTACACACAAAATCTTTGTTGAATAGATTTTAAAGGGGGAAAGCATTCGGTTCAAGATTCCTCGTCCTTTGATAGCTTTTACTGCTACCAAAGCCCCGGCCTCAAAAGGTTAAATGGAGGACACATCCAAAGTATTCCCTTTACTAGTTTTTATGTACTCTTTAGTATCGGGATTATTGGAAGCCATATCATAATTTATGGTTTGATCTCATAACCAGCTGGTCTATGGTTTACGACTAATTCCCGTCCATAAACCATCGATATGGATAAGAAGGGATGCAAACTAATTATACACCTTATAGAAATGTATTAAAAGATGTTCTCCCAAATGTATTGTAGTTGTTAGCCTTAAGTTTGCTCACAAGTTATATTCAAATTCTAGTTATTTCCAAGACTGACATTACTTTAACAAGGCTAGATTTCTAAAAGGGCTAAGGAAAAAGCATCCGAAGTATTCACTTTATGTATTCTTTGCTATTGGGATTATTGAAAGCCATATTATGTTTTGCAATCCGAGCTCGTAAACCAACTGGTCCATGTTTTATGACAAATTCACGCCCATAAACCATAAGCATGAATTATGAGGGTAAAAAATTGATCTTACGGCGTTTAAATTCGATCTGATTATTTTGAGCGAAATATTTTGTCAGTGTGAATTTGTCAGTTACGATACCTTCACAAAATTTTGTAAATCAGACTAGCTAAGTTGTACTTGAAATCAGTAAATATGTCAGTTAAGATACTTACAAAAAATTTTGTAAATCAGACTACCTAAATTATACTTGAAATCAGTTGTAATCAGAATACCTAATTTACTTGAATCAGTAAATATGTTCAGTCAAGATACTTTACAAAATTTTGTAAATCACTACATAATTTTAGAATCATATTGCCCAAAAATTTTGAAATAGGATACCTAAATTTACGAAATCAGTATGAACTGCACAAAATTTCTCAAATACCTAATTATACTTGAAATATATGATACTGACAAATTGTAAATCAGAATACCTAATTATACTTGGACATCATATGAGACTGCACAAAATTTGAAATCAATACCAAATATACTTGAAATCAGTAATAGTCGTCAAGAGATACTTTACAAAATTTTGTAAATTTTGTAAATCAGACTACCTAAATTATACTTGAAATCAGTACGATACTTGCACAAAATTATGTAAATTAGACTGCCTAAATTGTACTTGAACTCAATAAATATATCAGTTACGATACTAGCACAAAAATTTTGAAAATTAGCATATCCAAGTTATATTTGAGATCAGTATATATGTCACTAAACACCTGCACAAAATTTTGTAAATCAGACTGCCTAAATTACGAATTTCATATTAGAAATGAACAAACATAACATTTACATTTCTGACCTTTTCTGTATTAGTTTTACAATTAAGTGGGCACCCGAGGATGTATGGAAACGAGAGTGCTGATTGGCTTGCCAAGAATGCAATTAGAAAAGACAATGTTGATGCAAATGTTCCAAAATCATGCTTTAGAATTCAAATTTAAAACGATTCGACAATGGAATTATGATTACATCATTCCTGATAAGGGAGATGTAACAAAAGTTTTCCTTCCAACTTGTCTTTGAAAAACTGAAAAATAAGGACTTATTGCACAGTTTTAACGTATATATATATATGCTTACCTATATTAGGTGAGGTCGATTGCAAAGAAAGAGGAAGGTGCACAACTAGATGTATTCAGCCCTATATACTAAATTTGCACGTTTTATAGCTACTTGTTTCTGAGTCGTGCGAAATACATACGTACGTACGTACAGATGTCATGAGAAAAATCTCTTTTTAATCCATTTTAAATACATTTAAAGAGTTCTTTATTCTGTCCGTACTTGCAGATGTCACGTAAAACCACCGTTCAGGTGGATTTGATGATGAATGGATATGATGCCCGAAATTTCTTTCGATTACCGTACTTCCTTTACTTCGTACAAGGAAGTAAAAAGAAGAGAAAAAGAAAATATTATCTGGGAAAATATTTATTATTCAATTTCTTATTTGCGAAACTTTAAAGAAAAATTGTCAAAGATCTTTTTCCCCCTTTACTGGAAATGTCTTCGTCAGTTTCAGCGTACACACTATTAGTTGTGGCACGGCAAATACACTTAGCTGAAAAAAATCTATTCAAGGCTTCCTGAATCACGTTCGGCTATCTAAGTCATAGCATTTAATATATCTCTTTCAAGTGGTGAAACCATTTATCACGATCAAACAGAAAATGTTGCTGACATTTCTCCCACAAAAGAGGGAAAAAAAAAAAAAAAATCCGTTGGAATTAAATCTGGTGACTGAACTGGGCAAGCAATTAGTCCACATCTGCCAATCAAGATCTACTAATTCCCATTAAGTTGAAATGCGGCAGCATCACCTAATCTTATTGCAGTTTGAGGTGATATGAAGTACGATATTTAATTAATGAGAATTGATTTGTAATACCAGAATTGGCAATACTGACACGAATCCATACGGCGTGTCATAGGAAAGTAAGTACATTGCAATACAGAGGTTTATTCGCGCATTTTTTTCTAATTTTATTTTTTTCCCCTACAGACGATTTTCATCGTATTGACAGAAACATTTTACATAAAATATTTGTGTTTTAAATGTTCTATTTTGTAACCTTTATTCTTCGCTATCATTTTATAGCTTAATTTCCAAGACAATAAAGACTTTTGTGCCGGAAAAGATATTTTATCCCATTTCTCATAAACAACTTTCAAAATTCCAAAGACTTTTATAGGTCGACGTTTGGTCAATCCTTTTTTTTTTTTTTTTTTTTTTTTTTGAAAGTGCCAAAGCGCAAGAATCCATTGGGTGATATATCGGGAGATTTAGTAGGTATATGAGTGAAGGTTATGGCTTTAATACCCCTTACTTGTTCCATTTTTTTTCCCCAGGAAATTAACAGTTTGACGTTGCTGTGCTGCTTGTCTTGATCCGTTCTATTTGATGCTCCGTGAGCGAAGAGAAGATTTTCATATTTGAAATTGGATACAAAATAGCTTTTGATAATATGGCAGCTATCTAACTTTTTAACTCTCTTGTTTTGATTGCCATTATATGTGAAAACGAGCAACAA